TCTTAACCTAACCTAACCCTAAATAACAAAAAAGTAAATAATAATAAATTTGCTGAAAAATAAATGGTCATGTACAAAATTGATAGGAGGGGGGGTGGGGGGTCCAACAATCGTATACTAGGACAGACCCAAATTTAGAATTGTACATTGCTTTGCTTTAAATTTTTAATACCGTGAACGTGAAGTTTAAAATCGATGTAAAGTTTTCTTAAAATGTATACACTGACCTTTGACGTGTATACATTGACCTATAATCCGCGCTCACGGCTCCGTGTCTGGGTCACTCGCAGCTGTCGGCTGCTGAGTACGCCTGTACAGAAATATTTTTTGTTTCGTCAGTTGGTTCATGAATCATGATTTATTTACTTTTACAGTTCCTTGATTTAGTTACGACACTATATATATCTGAAGTGTGCTGAGCTGTGAAGGAGAGGGGTAAGGAACCAGGGAGCCAATGCAAAATATGAAACAATGTATTTAATTTACGTTTTTCTACAAAAAAAATATTGGTTTATTTAGGAAGGAGGAAAAGGAATTATAAAAGTGTAATCAGTACAGAGTACAGTAAAAGTTGTTATGAGTGCAGAGTGAATATTATTTGTTTGAAAAAATGGTAATTTCCTAGAGAACGATTTTTGGACCCCCCTTCCCCCTCCAATCAATTTTGTACATTTATTTTTTTATTTTTGAGACCATGAACCCCGCTAAATCGAACCCAGGTATTATCATTAAAAGATTATTTATTGAACAGTCTTTGGCTGGCCTGGGTTCGAATAGGGTTCCGCGGGGTTCGAACAGGGTTCTGCTAACTACCTGGGTTCGAACAGGATATTGCGGGGTTCATGGCCACATGGCCCCCCTCCCTAGTGTGTTTTTTTTTAAGTTACGAAGTAAAAATAAAAAAATTTCAATTTTTATACCATGATTTTAATTTTAAATAGAAAATTTTACAATTTGTTATCATAACTAATAATTTTTAGCTTATCTTATCATTCTGTTCTTAAAGCCATTTTATTTTCCATAAATTTGACATTCTGATATGGTATAGGTATAAATTACATAATACAAATTTAGAAGCCAAAAACAGAAACATGTTATATAGTAAACATTCAAGATCAAGGGGGGGGGGTAGATCAAAGTCCAAATTTTAAAGTAAATCCTTAAAATGCAAACATTTAATAGTATAAAAGTACTGTGATAAATTCATGATTAAACTATGGATCATCCACAATCAACGGCGTTGGCAGCTCCCGCCCCCCTCGAAGCTCTTAGGGGGCGGGAGGGGGGGAGGGCAAAATTTAACCTGTAAATTCAAAACATTTGGCTTCTTGGATATCAGACATGAGCATGAGATACTACACATGCAGTCCAATTACTTTGCAAGGACTACTTTATCTCTTCTCAAACAAAACTAGCAGAAAAAACATGGTTTCTAAATATCGACATTTTATTATTCTGTTATGTTAGTAATAATTAGTATTTAGACTAGAGATAGTAAAAGACATTTTTAAAATTAAAAATTCAACTTAAACTTAAATTCTATGAGATGAAAAAAAGGACAAAGGTCCAGAATAAAAAGAAAGATTACAAAACGGCGGTGCAATTAATAAAGTAAATAAAATCCAAATGAAAAAAATTGGTCGTTTACTACCTCCAAACTCAAGTCTTTGTGGCTTGGCATTTAAAAATAATTGTTTTACTTCGCTATCCCTGATAGCACCCATCCGATCAGGATGAATGTGCATTCTAGATAGATTTTTCATTCAGACTTCTGTCATGGTGGCTCTGGTCCACGTATACAATCTTCTTAGTGCACTGAATGAACAGCAAACTATTTTTTTTTATGATTTTTTAAAATTTGAAAAGTGTGAAAGCTCTGAGTTTTAGGGGGGCTATGCCCCCCTTTACAGGTCTATGGGGGCATTGACTCCTTTCCCCCCCTGTATACGCCCTTTTTCATAATTCGGAACCACTTGACGTTAATTTTTAACCAAAATGTAATCTAGATTTTAGCGTGTTGAAACGATTTAAAACTTTTAAATTTTCAGAATCCCAGATGGAGTTGATAGGAGCCATTGATCAGGGCACATCAAGTACTAGGTTACTTTTTCTTCTTTCTCTTTTATACAATTGGAGGGACTGTCTATGTTTTTCAATTTTATACAATTAATAGGACTGTATGTTTTTCTTTTATATAATTAAAAGGACTGTCTATGTTTTTCAATTTTATACAATTAATAGGACTGTATGTTTTTCTTTTATTTCTTTTATATAATTAAAAGGACTGTCTTTGTTTTTCAATTTTATACAATTAATAGGACTGTATGTTTTTCTTTTATATAATTAAAAGGACTGTCTATGTTTTTCAATTTTATATAATTAATAGGACTGTATGTTTTTCTTTTATATAATTAAAAGGACTGTCTATGTTTTTCAATTTATACAATTAATAGGACTGTATGTTTTTCTTTTATGTAATTAAAAGGACTGTCTATGTTATTCTCTTTTATACAATTAAAAGGACTGTCAATGTTTTGCTCTTTTATACAATCAAAAGGACTGTCTATGTTTTTCTCTTTTATGCAATTAAAAGGACTGTAAATGTTTGTCTCTTGGAAAAAAATTATTTTCAGTTTTTGTTTTCTTGTGGAGATACTGAATTAAAGGAAACCTCTGGTGTATCTAAACTAATTAGTAATTATTGAGTATGATAAGGAAAATATCGAGTAGAACTTATACATCCCGCGAGTTTTGACTGATTGAAATTAACTCTTGTAATTACATTTAAGCCTGATCCAACTCAACCAACCCTGCTTAACCTTTTAGGATCTAGAATAATCTTAGGTCGGAAACCCAGAAAGTTTTTAAGGTATTGTTGTCAATCGGAAATGACGGTTTAAATAGAGGGTCCCGTGTATTATGACAGTTCCTGAAGTTTTAAATTTACAAATAAAGATTTGTGAATAATAAATGGAAGATATTAAACCAAAAAAATGCTCGTAAGAGAAATCACTTTTAAAGTGAGAGGAAAAAGAAATTTGATAGTCAGGAGCGTACTCAGGAATTTGTCCAGGGGGTGGAGGGTGGGGTTAAATTTTGATTTCTTTCCTGAAAACCCCCTGGAAACCGTATATAGATTTTACGAATCCAGGAGGAGGGGGGAGGCAAGCCTCTATAGACCCCCCCCCCCCTGAGTACAAGCACGCCTCAGTTGTTATAGTAGACAAATGAATATTTAATATACATTGGGAGTTGGAAAAAAAGTTTCCAAAGCTTCTGGAAGTTTTGGAAGTGTAGGGTTTATTTATTTATTTTTAAGAAATCTCTGGGGTTATTCCTGGCTCCAGGCAATCCCACCCCATCAGCACTACTCCTTTAACACCCTGTGATCAGTGTTTGATCTAAGATCACTTTTGGCATGATTTAACCTTTAATTAGATCAAATAATTTTCCTGGCTAATTAACTAGCGAAAGTCTTGTTTAAAGTAAACCGAACATTTCTTGTATCTTCAACTTAAAAGAAACATCTACTTAAGACAATCTGACTTAACATTTTTGGACTCAATAAACGTACATTAAGATGTTCACAAATGAGAACTAATTAAAAAAAAATGTAATTCCTAAAAATTTTATGTTCGAGGAGATAATTGCCAAGTTTAAGAAAGTGCCAAAGAAAGTAAAAAAAAATTCATGCAATTATGATATTACATATTAATTTAATTAAAATTGTTGAAAAAAATGAATGAGTTAGGTCAAAAAAACCGTGGAAAATTCTCGCTTCTTGGAAAATTATATTATTTAGCGGGTTTTTGGATATAACTTAGTAAATTTTTGGATATAACTTGTAAATTTTTGGATATAACTTGTACATTTTTGGAATTTGTAAAAAATTTCAACGGATTTTTGCTTTCTGGACAATTACGAAGAAACTAATGTGACATGATAAATTTAAGAAAAAAATGTTTTTGAGGTTTTTTCTAACTTTAGCAGCGATTATATCTTAGAGTTTTAGAGATATTGAGCTAAAAATTAGATTAGTTCTCACGTCACACATCAAGCTTGGAAAAGATACCGCGCGCACTGATTTCAAGAGTGGGTCATCCTTGACACCTTAACGTACATGCAACTGATTGCAGACGATATTTCGAAATTAGATCTTTTTGGATAAATTCATATCTTTTTCCACACGTTAGTGCTGCTTTGGCATACTAGCTGTCTATGAGTTATCTTATTCTTTTTCCACACGTTAGTGCTGCTTTGGCATACTAGCTGTCTATGAGTTATCTTATTCTTTTTCCACACGATAGTGCTGCTTTGGCATACTAGCTGTCTATGAGTTATCTTATTCTTTTTCCACACGATAGTGCTGCTTTGGCATACTAGCTGTCTATGAGTTATCTTATTCTTTTTCCACACGTTAGTGCTGCTTTGGCATACTAGCTGTCTATGAGTTATCTTATTCTTTTTCCACAGGATAGTGCTGCTTTGGCATACTAGCTGTCTATGAGTTATCTTATTCTTTTTCCACACGATAGTGCTGCTTTGGCATACTAGCTGTCTATGAGCTATCTTATTCTTTTTCCACAGGATAGTGCTGCTTTGGCATACTAGCTGTCTATGAGCTATCTTATTCTTTTTCCACACGTTAGTGCTGCTTTGGCATACTAGCTGTCTATGAGTTATCTTATTCTTTTTGGGTCTTGTATTTGTTTTGAAGAGGTCTTTTCTTGATGTCTTTTCTTGATTATTAAATATTAGCTGAAAAAATATGACAGTTACAATATTTTGTACTTTACATGGTTATCAGAATAAATAGAAAGGCTCTTCAATCATTGTTAAGGGTTCTTATAAGACTTGATATAATTTTCTTCATCCCCCCCCCCCTAAAAATATGATATTATTTTCTAGAAAAATTCATAATGAAAATTCCTATTTTTGAATTGGTAAATTCTTTTCGTTTCTTCATGTTTTTAAAGTATTTACTTTTTACTCTTCGACTTTTTTCTAGCTTTGATCTTGTAATGCTTTTATCTCCTTTTATTTTTTATAAAGAAAGTAATCATCAGTAAGGAGATAAAGAGATACAATATAATACATATAAAACTCCTAAGAGTTGATTGTGGTCAGGGTGTCTTAACAGTTGCATGGTTATTATTATGTGATTATGTGAGATGAGAACATTTATAAATTTGTTAATTTAGATAAATCATTTTAATGGGAAAATACATGTACAATGTACATTGTGCATGCCAATAGTGTTGAAAAAATACACCTGAGGTCGAACTTAAAGAATTTGACCCACAGCGAAAATATGGTTGGTTCCACTTAAAATTGTATTCAATTTTTGTAAGATTTAAGCAGGCGCTCAATTGAAACCGGTTTTTGGTGGATTTGAGACGCGGCTTAAATTCATTAAATTCGGACACTGTATTGTTTAACATATGTTAATGTTTATAAACTAAAAACAATTGAATAAATCCATTTTATTCTCAACATGCAATGGAAATTTTGCATTTTAAAATGTTTAAAATTTTATGAATAAAACATATCCTAGATGTTTGCAAAAGGTATTTGGAATGGAATATTTGTTTGCTTTTAACAGACAAGACTTTTTTCTGTTTATATTTTTGCATCAGAACATAGTAATAATCGCGTGTTCTTCAAAATTTACTTTTCAATTCCTTGCAGGGGGTTATAATAAATTTGGTGATGGCATCGTTTTCAAGGCCATTTTGAGACATTTAGGGGTTTTGAAGTTAAAAGTGTCTCACAAAGTTGTGAGTTATTAATTAAATTGCAAAATTGCATTCTTGATAAATTTGCTTTAATTACAGTATGCGAATTTTTTTTCTCTGATCAAAGATATTCGCCAGCACGATTTTTCAAAACGGAAAACGGAAAACGGAAAACGATTAGTTATAAAAAATCGTTTGGTTAATATCTTTGATCAGAGACAAAAAATTCGCATAATGTAATTAAAGCAAACTTGCCTAGTCTGATATTTTGAAATAGGATTTACATCAGATTCTTGTGGAGTCTCTTTAAAGTTTAAAAAATTTGAATATTTAATTAAACGAGGTCCATGAGTAAAAATAATGGAATGGGTATAAACCAATGGTCAGCCCAATATGAGAAGATTGGCTTAAAATTTTTTTTCCAGGTTGATCATCTTTAAAGCTGGAACATGTGAGGTAAGGCTATTTATTAAAAAAAATGTTTTGATATGCTGTGAAGAATATTTAGAATCAATGGCATTTTTATTCGAATCCGCGCCAGGGACAAAATTGAATTCATAGTTGAACTACATAGAATAGTTTGAACCACTCTATTTTGAACCGATAAAAGTGGGTTGGCTATGTCTATGTAGTTAAACTACCATTCGCTGCTCATTAAATTTGGTCCTAATTCCAGAATTGATACTGAAGAAAAAAATCTAATTCGAATCTAGAAGAAAAATCCATTGTCCTTTTCTAATGGGTGTTGTATATCACAGTAAGCTTGAATAATAATATAATGATAGAGCAATTTCCTTATTCCTATCAATTGAAAATATTCTCAACATATCGCTTAAAAAATAAAGGTTTATGTCAAGATGATGATCATATTTTTATTTTTATGATAAAGTTTTATATGTTTGTTTATTTAATCAAATTTATTTATTTAATTACGCCCCCCACCCTCTATAGTTTCGCCGAGGAGTACTTTGCAATTTCGTAGGAAACGTTTTTGCAGTTCCCAAGCAGAATTACGCGGAATTGCGAAAATTTGCTTAGGTGGAAACCCAAATCTGAACTATAATATTCAGCTGTTTAGGTGCTTGTAGAGCATCAGCTGGAGGTACAGCAACATTTTCCTAATGAAGGGTAGGCGTATAATTATATAATATAAGTTATTGCTTACAGCTGTAGCAAGAGGCATTGATTTAGTTTTTTTACAATTAAAATTTTTTTACTTTCACAAGGCCCCTGAAAAATCTGGGATATTAATCGTTTATCAAAATGTTCTGTAAAAATGTTATGCTCTGAGTACGAGTAAGCTTTACTTAATATGGCGTAAACCTCCAGTAACCAATACCTGCCTGAAATCCCAGACAGTTTATTGAAATCTTTTTGTTTAGATGGGTTGAACAAGATCCTTTGGAACTACTCAAATCTGTTCATCTTTGTATTCAGGAAAAACAGTACAGTTCTTACCAGACAAACAGTACTTTTCATACCACACAAACAGTACAGTTCATACCAGACAAACAGTACAGTTCATACCAGACAAACGGTACAGTTCATACCAGACAAACAGTACAGTTCATACCAGACAAACAGTACTTTTCATACCAGACAAACGGTACAGTTCTTACCAGACAAACAGTACTTTTCATACCAGACAAACGGTACAGTTCATACCAGACAAACAGTGCAGTTTATACTGGACAAACAGTGCAGTTTATACCAGACAAACAGTGCAGTTTATACCAGACAAACAGTGCAGTTTATACCAAACAAACAGTGCAGTTTATACTAGACAGTAGACACACAGTACAGTTCAACACTGACAAACAGTATAATTCATACCAGACAAACAGTGCAGTTTATACCAGACAGACGACACACAGTACAGTTCAACACTGACAAACAGTATAGTTCATACCAGACAACCAGTGCAGTTTATACCAGACAGTAGACACACAGTACAGTTCAACACTGACAAACAGTATAGTTCATATCAGACAAACAGTGCAGTTTATACCAGACAAGCAGTGCAGTTTATACCAGACAAACAGTGCAGTTTATACTAGACAGTAGACACACAGTACAGTTCAACACTGACAAACAGTATAGTTCATACCAGACAAACAGTGCAGTTTATACCAGACAAGCAGTGCAGTTTATACCAGACAAACAGTGCAGTTTATACTAGACAGTAGACACACAGTACAGTTCAACACTGACAAACAGTATAGTTCATACCAGACAAACGGTGCAGTTTATACCAGACAAGCAGTGCAGTTTATACCAGACAAACAATACAGTAATTACTAGACAATAAGAAACTGGGCTTGCCAGACAAACAAAAATGTCCTCTTCTTTTCTTAAGAATTAAATAGTTATCCGTCTAAATTGATTTTTAAAAATCGGTTTATTATAAGAATTGTGGAAAACAGTGTTCAAATCTATAAATTGAGTTTTGTTGCTGTACTTTTTTCATCCCCAGGGAGTTGTTGATAAACTTCAGGCAAAGAATATCCCAGTTTCATCAATAAAGGTATTTGATATAATCTTAAACATTGTAGTCTTAAAATGATATTTTTACTCCAACCGTTCAACATCGGTCGGTCCTTTTGACGTTTATTCATCTTTTTATCCTTGTGGGTTTTTTTTTCACTATATTGACTTCTTTTGCTTTAGAAAAATGTGCGACATTTTTCTTTATTTGCTTATTCTCATAACTTATTAAACCATGGGAGATCCCAACTGATGATTTGAAACGTAACTTTGAGTGATCCTTAATGCAAAGATGGTAATGCCCGATTTAAAACGGCCTTCACTCTTCAGTACCTTTCAGTATTCTGCATTGAAAAAAGTTCGATTTTACTTCATCCTAAAGGGATTGTAAGAGTTGACAAGCTTATCTTGATACTAGATCGGTGGATGGTCTTGGCAGGAGAACTTTAAATACCGGTAACCTCTATACTTCACCTAAAGGGTTGACAGATACCAATCAACCAATAGTTTTATTTGGTTAGCCAACTGACTGGAATGTATCTACATTATATCCCAAGCTTTGGACTAAAGGTTGGGGTTTTAAAGGTCTAGTTAGAATAGGGGCGGGACAGTGCATCCTGCTGCCTGGGCGGTCTGGGGGGTCCACATTGGGGCCTCTTGCAGATTTCACTTCCTTATAAATCCTTTAAGGGAGTGTTCGCGAAAAATGAAAGGGGGTATAGGCTTAATGCGATAAAAAAGCGCTTTTGATCGCTACTAATCTTACTTCTATCTGTTGCGTCTATAAGGAGAAAATTGTTAAAGACGTCTCATACCGAAGAACGTAGCGCCCATACAAATTGAGAAAATTGCAACATACGACTTAGACCGTAAAAAAAATCAATTTAATTTCAAGCAAATCATTCAGATATTACAACCTATAGTCATCGATTATCTTTCGCCACATATGTATATAGTTTATATTTTATAATATTTTTTAATTAATTTTTTTTTGAATGTGAGTGATGCGCGGCATTCTTATATAGTTGCGCAAGCGACAAGAGAAATAATCAAATTCAAAACTCAAAAATCAGAAATCAAATCAAATATTATATTAAATATTCTAGGGAATTGGACTAACTAACCAACGAGAAACAACTATTGTCTGGAACAGGTGTTTAATTTTTTTACGGCCTTTTGACCAACATTCTTAACTTATGATTTCCCTAGGAAAGGGAGGTTCAGTTACTTTACGTCTCTTGGGACAGTCATGTAAAATTAACTCCCGCTCTGAAAAAATCCGCGCGTTCATCTCTACAGACGATAAAATTGTGTAGAACTGCTTTTTAGGGATGTTAAAATTTTTACTTAAACACGGGTTCCCTCGACCAATTCTGTCTATAAAACATCCCCTAGGCAAAATTGGTCAAATTGGTCTTGCTGTAAACTACTATTTCTTCAACTTCCCTGAAAAGTAGTTGTAAATATTTATAATTTTCTGATTTAGCTTTTTATTAATATGAGGATGGATGTTCCAGCCCAGACCAGTGTCTGATAGTATGTCTATTTAACAAGTTATCTTTTTCAAGTGTTCATATCTTTTAATTCCATATGAGTAGGAAAAACACTGTCCGCATGATATAGAAAAGACTAGGCTTAATTTTTTATTACAAAAAAAATATTAATTTTTCCTATTAAACTTGATTTTTTATTTATTTTTTGAGCTAATTGCGTTTCCTAAGTACACAAAAATACGGGTTGGAATTTTAGCCCCCCCCCCCTGAAATTATTTTTTGACATATATTTTTATGGACTTTGTTTAGATTAACTGGAATCCCTGTTCATCCAGCCATGGTATGGAGTGATGCCAGAAACAGTCTGATAGGAACATTATTACATATTAAGATATGCATTTTACGGCCTTTTCAAGCAGCTGGAGATTTTGTATTATTCAGGGATTTTTAAGTTTTAATTATATCTAACTTTGCAAAGTTAAAGTTAAAATACTATAATTTTTAAACTAGCTTACTGCGGAAGACTCAAAGATCACTCGCTAAGCTCTTGGTCTTTGAAGGGTCAAAGTAATCAAGAGAATTTTTGATAATTTGAAATTTTTGTAATTAGCTTTGAATTTAATTCTGAGCCAAATTAGTAATTTTATAATTTTAGTTTTGGTTTCATGAAATTAAATTGAGAGAAATATGAAAATTTTCTTTCAAAATTATTTTTTTCAATGTAACAGTTTAAGAATTAGAATGTATTTTGATTTTTACTCAAAAACTATTTGTTCTTGATATATATTTAAAGTTTGAATTTAGAAAAAGAATAAGAATGGACTGCATCCATATTTTTGGGGAGGGGCGACTTTTTAGATTTGTTCATGCTTATTTTGTTTGTATGAGATGATTTTAACGTGTAGCTTTATTCCAATTTGGCATTTTTTAATGTTGCTTCAAATACAGCAATGAAAGATAGTAAAAGAATTCATGGCAAATACAAGAAAAGGAAGAAAAGAATAAAAATAAGAATTTTAAGAGAAGGACAAATCTGTAGTCCAATATACACCTCTGAGGCTCTGATTAAGTTCTTACACTGGATGAAAGCTTGATTGCAAATTTGGTCGGTCCAACAAAAACATTTTCATCCTTGCCAATTTGTTGAATAGAATCTGATAAATCTTACCATTTTAAGTTTTGTAAGAAAAAATTTCTATTTCCGCTTACTTCCACAATTTTTTAACTTAAACTGTCTTCTTCAATTCTCCACAAAAATTTTTATCTGGGTGATGTGGGTTCATTAAATTAAGGTTGTCAATTATTTCATTATTTTTTCCACTATTTTAGCACATTATGCCACGGGTTATTTCGATTTTTAGGCGGCCCATTTGTAACATCATAGTTCACTAGATTAACAATAATGCTTTGGACAGTCAAAAACCTCTGCAGTGAATTTGGACAAGACCATTTAAGGTAAATTTCTTCTACTGTACTGCACTGTTAACTTAACACTGTACTGCACTGTTAACTTAACACTATACTACACTGGTAACTACGCATTCACTGTACTGTACTGCATTGTCAACTACAAACACTGTACACACTGTACTGCACTGTCAACTTTCACCTTCAACTGTCCATAGCTAAACACTTTTTTTGACTGACCACTTATTTATCCTGAGTCTTGACTGACCACTTTATTATCCTGAGTCTTTACTGACCACTTTATTATCCTGAGTCTTGACTGACCACTTATTTATCCTGAGTGTTGACTGACCACTTTATTATCATGAGTCTTGACTGACCACTTATTTATCCTGAGTGTTGACCACTTTATTATCCTGAGTCTTGACTGACCACTTATTTATCCTGAGTGTTGACTGACCACTTTATTATCATGAGTCTTGACTGACCACTTATTTATCCTGAGTGTTGACTGACCACTTTATTATCATGAGTCTTGACTGACCACTTTTCGTCGAGAGTCTTAACTAACCATTTTACTGTCCTGAGTCTTAACAGAGGTCTGATTTCTCCCCATTTCCATTGAATCCTTAAACACATGAATACTGAATAGACATTTTATTTTAGGACACAGTGTGGATTACCCATTGCCACATATTTCTCTGCCACAAAACTATTGTGGTTATGGGACCATATTCCTGAGGTAAGATTTAACTGTTTTTGTAATTTTAACTGACGTTCCAGATAAATAGTGCTATCACCGATTCACAACCTTCATATGATCAATTATTTTGTATTATAAAGTCGGTTTCCAAGTCTGGAAAATGTTAAATTCGAACAATTTCCTATATTTCTGAAGCACAAATGCGCAAGTCTATATTTAGAGAAATCACAAGTTCAAAAATAATCTAATTTTAAAGAGAAGATATCTCATTCATTCTTGACAAGAAAAACCTTTTAGGGGTACTTTAGTGAATCCGACCATGTCACACTTTTTAATGGAAGGTCATTTGAAATTGGTCTTTTAAAGGAAGTGACCGGCTAGACATGGTACTTGAGCTGAGAGTGTAGTAATGTAGAGGATGTTTTAGGATTTATTTAAGACGTTTTTACGGTGTATAATTCCTGAATTAGAGATGAAATTTGATATTTTAAATTCTCCCGGACTGTCCATTTTGCAAGGTACATTTAGAGAATCGTATTTTTTATTATGTAATAACGACGACGAAAAATGTAACAAATTACACAGTAAAACTAAACTAATGACATGTATGGGAGCATATTTCTCAAAAGAAATTATCCATGAAAGCCATGGTAGAAACGATAAGTTAAATTCATTATTATTATCTAGTCTTTAAATTAATTAGCAGATTTCTTCTAATGTCGTCTTTTTAGCTTGAAACATTTAAGGAAAGCGGTAACACCACAACAAGTGGAAAAATGTGCATTTACAGCTATAATTCAGTTAGAAATATAATAGCTTATTTTCAATCAAAAGTGAGATCAGAATTTTTCAACTTGTTTCTATACATGCCATTATTTTTTGTTGTTGTTATTTAATAATTTAAAATAAATGTCAAAGATCTAATTTCAGCTCTTAGTTAGCAGCATTTTACACCGTAAAAACTTCTTATAGGTCTCAAATGAATCTTTAAAAAATGTCTCTACATTACTGCACTCTCAGCTCAACTACCATATCTAGCCGGTCACTCCCTTTAAACGGTAAATTGCAAGCTATTAAATGTACAGTGAAAACTAAAGTTCTTGTAACATTAACAAACAAATTTATAAACCTTGAGGGATACAAACGAGAATTAGTTTTAACTGTGTTAGATTGTTTTAGTTTAACAAATAGTTGGGATAAGTTTAAATATATAATACCTTCCTCAGTTTTAAAACTTTCTTATCTAAGAATTTGTATTTGGCAATTTGTAAGTTCTTTGCAACCTCTTCACAACTTCTATATAAAGATTTGTTAAGAAAGTCTTCTTTATAATAATTTGTTAAGAAAGTCTTCTATATAAAGATTTGTTAAGAAAGTACGAAATTGTGAAGTTGTATATAGATTATAGAACCTTGAAAGGAAGAAATATCATTAATTAATTTCCGTACAGAATATTTAACGGTTTGGAATTAAAGGGTGAAGTGTCTGGTAGGAGGAAATATTAATTACAATAATAAATTAAACTAAACTTTTGGATTTTAGGTAAAACAGTTAGCAGAGGAGGGAAATCTATTGTTTGGAACTGTGGACACTTGGATTCTTTGGAACCTCACTGGAGGAACGCAGGTAGTCTAGAAGTACTTAGGAACCTTACTGGAGGAACACAGGTAGTCTAGATGTACTTTGGAACCTTACTGGAGGAACACAGGTAGTCTAGAAGTACTAAGGAACCTTTCTGGAGGAATACAGGTAGTCTAGATGTACTTTGGAACCTCACTGGAGGAACACAGGTAGTCTAGATGTACTTTGGAACCTTACTGGAGGAACAGAGGTAGTCTAAAAGTACTTAGGAACCTTACTGGAGGAACACAGGTAGTCAAGAAGTACTTAGGAACCTTACTGGAGGAACACAGATAGTCTAGATGTACTTTGGAACCTTACTGGAGGAACACAGGTAGTCTAGAAGTACTTAGGAACCTTACTGAAGGAACACAGGTAGTCAAGATGTACTTTGGAACCTCACTGGAGGAACACAGGAAGTCTAGAAGTACTTAGGAACCTTACTGGAGGAACAAAGGTAGTCTAAAAGTACTTGGGAACCTTACTGGAGGAACACAGGTAGTCTAGAAGTACTTGGGAACCTTACTGGAGGAACACAGGTAGTCTAGAAGTACTTAGGAACCTTACTGGAGAAACACAGGTAGTCTAGAAGTACTTAGGAACCTGACTGGAGGAACACAGGTAGTCAAGATGTACTTTGGAACCTCGCTGGAGAAACACAGGTAGTCTAGATGTACTTTGGAACCTCACTGGGGGAACACAGGTAGTCTAGATGTACTTTGGAACCTTACTGGAGAAACAGAGGTAGTTTAGAAGTACTCGGGAACCTTACTAGAGGAACACAGGTAGTCAAGAAGTATTTTAAAATCTTACTGGAGGAACACAGGTAGTCATATATACATTACAAATGGACACAAATACTCCTGTATTGTATATGTATCTCTGTGTTATCTCGTTTATTCAAATTGTTTTTGACCAAACAAGAACACCTTTTTTATTGTAAGATTATTCCGTCCTCTCTTGTTCGTCATAGGCCGTACAAAATATTTATTATAAAATGGAATCTTATTAGAATTGGAGTAGAATACGCGGTTCAACCTTCTCTAGACCTAGCTCAAATTTATCAAATCCGGTCCCAGAACATTTTATTTTTAGAATGGATTGCACCTAACAGATGTAACAAATGCTTCCAGAACAATGCTCATGTCCTTGAAAACACTTTCCTGGGATCCAAGGTATAGTTTAACTGTAGTTGTCCCCCCTTCCCTCACTTTAAGACTATACAAATATATAACTTGCTATTTTTAAGATGTAATTGATACATTCTTCTGTTTTTTGACAAATAAGAAAAGTTAGTTTGAACAAGTAATTTGTTTTGTCACATTGTATATTATATATTGTATATTTTATATTGTATATTGTATATTGTATAATGTATATTGTATATTGTATAATGTACATTGTGTATTGTATATTAGTTTCTGAGAAAACGAATGTTCTTTGTTTTTCCTTTTTTATTTTGTTATCATTTAGACATTTTCAATATTGCTAACAAATAAAAAATCGAAATTGCAAACAGTGAACAGTGAACAGTGAACATTTGACAAATTTATTTCTCATTCAACTTAATCCTCATCCTCTCATCAATGTTAATTACTGGTAAATCCGAAAATATGACTGAATCCCTTTTTACTTTTCTTCTTTGAGAATTTTTATTACAATACGGTGGCTTTTTCTATTTCTTTGAAGATAACATTTTTTCACTCTCTCTCTCTCTATCTCTTCNAGCTTCGAGTTTATTACTCATTGATGATTAAGGGTTTTTAACAAAAGTTTTGAGAGCTTTCCTTCCTTCCAATCAACTCCTTAACTATTCAGTATCGTTAATTAACTTCGGGCCAACCACTCTAAACAACCAACCCTGGTTAGGCGGGTTGAATAAAAATATGAAATATGAAGTAATATTATATAGCTTTGTAGCTTAGCTCAATTCTCTCATATTTCAAAATATAGGAATGAATTCTGCGTTTTATTGGTTTTTCATTTTCACTCTTAAAAAGATCCACAAGAAACTTAAATGTTCATCATATTCCATTATTGTATGTTTTCTTTTTAAAATCATTTATTTTTAATGTTTGTACCATGTTTACTTTTACAAAAGATATTATTTAAAAAAATTTATTGAAACGTTTTTCAATTTTTGTTTTTCGTTTTGGCCTCAAGTTAAAATTGTTAAAAAACGATGCTCATCTTTTTTAATGATAATTCACTTTATGAAAAATCGGGGAAAAAATAAGACCTTGGTATTTTAAACTATGAATTCTGTTATAACAAATAATTTAAGTTTGAAACATCAAAGGTTCATACGATCAGGTTGCAAATATATAGGTATTAGAAAATTTAAAATTGTCGCACAAACTTAGTTTCTTAGTGTGAAGATAAGCGCTAGAAATGGTGCCCCGAAGAGTTTAGAATTTCTAGTGTTTTATTACCAGGTTTTATTATTATTTTAGTCTTCTGAAGTTCTTCAACTTGCCTCTTCATATTCTTCCAACCATCAAAGCATCCTCAGGTCTAGAGAATCTCGAGATATATATATTTTCTTTATTTTAATTTATCTTATTCTCGTACTCTCTTTACATTCATTACAATTGAAGGGTGTGATAAATGATCCACGGACACTTAGATTTCGTTTTTTACGATGAGTCCTCTCTTCGTATGATTGTTCAGTTCGAGGGGGGGGGGGGGAAAGGATGTTTATGGGAAACAAAGAAACAGTAAACTCTATCTTGACGAAAACTTGATGCTCATAACCTGATCTATCCAGTTTTTAAAATCTGCGTTGTATGCATCTCAAACCTCTATTCGTCCTCTCACCCCACTCTAATAGTTGCGTGATATGAGCCTGTACATCATGCACTGTATATGCATTCAGTTGTACCGTACAAGGATTTTAGCCGGGGGGGGGGGGGGGGCCACGAACCGCGGGAAATTTTTTTGCCCTTACCCTGGGCGAGTTTTGCCACCCCCCCTGGCCTTAAAAATGCGGTTATTCTTAATTAAGTCTACTACATGTTACCTATGTAGCCCATTGTAGTCTTAATTCAAGGACTAAATAATCACTCTGTATAGTTCTAATTATTTCTCTTTGTAGTCCACTGTAGTCCCGATTCAAGGACTATATATAATAATGTATCCCTCTATATAGTTCTGTATTACTCTCTGAAGTTCTGAGTAGTCTCCTAAAGACTATTATTAGTCTTCCGTTATTTTTATTTTCCCTTAATCCTCTCCTAATGTAATCTCCCCCTGGCCTTCATGGGGGTTGCGGGAAGACATGCCAAATAAAGCATATTGCATGAAGCTATAATTGTTTATCAAGTAGGGGGGAGGAGGAGATTTTAGATAAAAGGAATATACTAAGGTAAGATTAATGTGCACTTTGAATTCTCATTGTGCATTAGTGGTTCATCATAAGTGCGCCTGCAAACGTGCCTTTTTCAACAGAAGTTTTGACTAATGTTGCAAGTTTGACTTTCCTAGAAAACTCTCCCTTTTCTAGTTTCCATTTTATTTAATAATTATTATGGATAACCCCTTATCGAAATTCATCAGAAAATTGTTGATAATTGATAATTGCATTTATAGAATTGGAATGAGTACAGTGAGAACCAGAAAACTCTAGAACAGAAAGACGGCATTTTGACTCAATTCATGACTTAAGATATTCCAATTAGTACGAGACACAGCAGTTGTGCAGTGTGAACAGAACCTTAACAGATTTAATTAGTTACTAGCAAAACTGTTTGCTTTGTAACAACATCAAATACATTTAGTTATCGAAATAATGTCGTCTTTAAACTCCACCGTTTTCTAGTTCTCAGTGTATTTTCCTGAATAAAAGCATGATCTTAATTGACGTTATTTCGACTTTATTTTCTTCAGAACTGGATTATGATTGAGATTATTGATTATAAGTGGTCTTCTTAAGAAAACCTCATTATAATTTCAGCCAATAAGCAAATCTGACCATAACAAAGTTTTCGGGACGATTTCTAGAGAAAACTTTCCCAAAAAAAATTTCAAAGTTTTTCCTTATGAATTCAGAGCTGAAAACTTTAGAATAAGATATCCCTAATCCCGATACTTAATCTGAGTATCCAATGGACACGCTTTTGATTTTCTTCTCAAACCGTTCGTTCTTGTATATAGATTATAGAAGAAAAAAATCAAAAATTAGAGAGTTCCTCCCGTTTCTGTATATTAATCTTAAATCGCGCGCAAAATTTCAAATTTATCGGCTTCAAATACACGACTCTGATTGGTTGAATTTTATACACTTTTCAGGACACAAGTACAATAGGTTAGTCTCGATATTAAGAAAAAGAGAGGATCAAGCATTAATCTCGATATCCAATATTCTGAAGTTTTCAGCTCAGAAGGAATTAGAATTGGTCTACGATATTTTACGGTTAAAGTGTATTATTTCTACATATATATTAGATATTAATGGATTATTATCATTTTTTCTAACTTATCACATGTAACTGTTGCTTCGAAATCACCATTTTATTCATTGTTCTCCAGTAAAAACTTTTTTTCGGAGATTGATCTGTTAAACTTCCCATTTCCCCCCCAAAAAATGTGACATTTATTTCCGGTCAAAACTTTTCATTTTTAAGCATCCCTAATCTTATTGCTAGGGAGTTGCCACTTGTCGCGCAAATTTTTGGCCCGATCGGTTCAGCCGTTTTGACGTTTATTGGATATAGACAGACAATCATACATATTCCATCATGTACAGGGTGTCCCAAAAAACATGGGAATTCAGTGACGAATTCGATATCGTCTTTGTTATGAAGTAGTATTGTAATACCTAATTTCAAAACCCATAATATTATTATGTCTGCTAGAGTTTATTTTATGAAAAGGGTAAAGGACTATAAAGATGTGTCTATATGTCTCCACAAGATGAACAGTGAAGACTGACAAGTTTACTCTGTTTGTATACAGCAATTTTCTTGTTTTACTAAGTACAACCGTATGAAGTCAAAACATAAACAAACAAAATGTGAGCATAGAAGACGAAACTCTTACAGATTACAGCTTTCTCAGTAGGTATCACTACACTAAATCGAAGAATTATTTAAAAAGACGATATCAAATTCGTCACTGAATTCCTATGTTTATTGGGACACCCTGTATATATATGTATATATATATATATATATGTGGCAGAAAAAGCTTTTACCGTTAAACAAGAAAAATAAAAATGAATCTTCCAAAGATCTAAAACAAAATCTAATTTGTTCATTTATTTTTAGATGATTTTGGTTGTATTGCAACTGGTCCTATGAGGGGGATCAAGATTTCGGGGGTGGTAGGGGATCAACAAGCAGCCCTGCTGGGACAGGGGTGCACAAGGATAGGAGAGGTAACATTTATTTTGTCTTCTTAAAATTTAAAAATAGAAATATTTGCAAAAATCATTTTTACATGAGAGTCTGCAATTCACGTGTTAAATTGGTTAGTTTTTAACATATTACAGGCGAAAAGTACATACGGAACAGGATGCTTTATGTTGTACAATACAGGTAACAAAATATATTAATTCATTTTAACATCTTATTATTTAATAGAACAGGTCCCAAAACTAAAATTAGTTATGTGCTGAATGCATAAAATCGTCTGGGTTGAAAAAAAAAAATTTTCACTTTTTTATTGCAGTATTTCAAACCGGAGTTTTATTTACTTCCATTTATTTTAGTATCCAATCTCAACCAATCTTCATTTCTTCTGGGATTCCTGTTAAAACAATTTCTTTAAATTCAAATATCTGGAACAAAAACAAATATTAGGATTGCTTTAAGATTGTTTTTATTCTCACTAAGATGGTTTTAATTCTCATGGACAACCGGATCCACTTCGAATTAGAGCTGGGATTTAATACAATAATTCAAAACTAAGAAATTTTAGTAAAAAAAGTTTGTAAATATTTCGAAAAAATAACATTTTTTATGAGCATGCATGTTGGAAATAGAATTAGAAGAAGAGCAAATATGTACCCCTATGTTTTTTGAAAACATTATAAAATATTAATAATACTTCTATTCTAGAATTGATTATAAATCAAAAAGGTTGGCCGGCCAAATTTCTACAATCATCCATCAGTCAATCTTTTTTAGGGGATTCTATTGTTGAAAGCAAGCATGGTCTTCTTACAACTGTAGCATACCAGCAAGCCGGGAGGAGTGCTACTTACGCCTTGGAGGGTTCTGTAGCAGTAGCAGGATCTTCAGTCAGGTATAGTTATTAACCCTCATATTATGCAATTGTCCCTAATATGTAATTTTGCCCCTTTCCCCTAATTAAGAATGCAAGAAACTTAAGATACCAACTCTTGATATTTTGAATATTTGATCCAACAGAATTCACAGTTTGAAGGATCAACATTTTATGACATCACGTTGCAAGATATGGGGATGAGAAAATTTGAACTTCATGGCTAGAGTTCATTTCCGGTTTATTGTATAATCTCTAAATGTTAGCTTTTAAAGGAAGATTTTAAGAAAAAATTATCAAGAAGAGGTAAAACAAGTTCACAGATTATAAGTAACTTTTCCATCCCCACAGTTTTTAAAGGGACCGTTCACTTATTTGGATAAATTCAGGGTAAACTAGACAGCCATTTGCTGTTGATTGGTATTAGTTTTACTTTTCAAAGGCGATTATGGCCGCAGAAAAATTCGTTCAGAATTCAAGCGCAAAGGTATGTTACCTTTGTCATATACACTGTTTTATGTTTTTATCAACATGTTGTGGATCAAAATAAATTTCGAATATAAAAGTAAACTGTAGTATCTAATCGTTAATTGTAAATGTCATAATTTTTTTAATTTTTGTTGTTTTTTAACTTTCTATTTCTAACATAACATTATTCTATCGCATTAAAAACTTTGTATTGCTTCTGTAAAAAGCTGAATGCGGGAACAAAATTGACAAGAGCGGGGGGGGGGGGGATAGAAATCGTAAACTATGAAAATACCTGATTTCTTTTTAGCATTATAAAGCTAATAGTTCATTCATTTTGAATTTCTCGGACAGCGACTCCAGCTGACGTAATATTATTTTCTTGAGAAATAATACAATTACCTTATTTATTCAATTATTATTTCTATTATTTATATTCATTTTATTCGCTTTATTCAATGATATTTTAATAAAATAGACTATTACTTAGAAATGCATTATTGCAAGTATAATATAATAAAGATGTACATTTTATTCACATCTACGAACCGAATAGAGAGCGGTACTCCCGTTCCGGAAGTTTTAAAAATAAACTTTTTCGGATTACTCACAAATTCATGAGTTGAATTCGTTGAATCTAGGAACCGAAATTGTGAAATGATTAATTGACTGTCGTAGAGAACGTCATCTTTGTATACCCATTTTACACGTTTAGACGAAAAACATAAATTTCTTGCTAACTCAATTATCATATTTTCATTTTTTAGTATCTAATATTTTTTGAACTTCATAATTCATAATTTTCATATTTTAGTATCTAATAAAGTTTACATAATGACATTAAAATAAAATAAATTTAAATTTTATAGGGCTGCTGTTGCTGAAAAACGTCTAATAAACAATTTCTGACAAAAGTACCTTTGCGCTCGAATTCTGAACAAAAAATCGGCTTTTTCTTTGGCCACAGTTGTCTTTGAAAAGTAAGACTAATTACCAATCAACAGCGAATAGGCTTTTTAGTTTACCCTGAAATTACCCAAATAAGTGAACAGTCTCTTCAAATTTTTTTTTAGTACATACATTACAATATACATCTATACAATAAAACAAGACATTCGTATATATATATATATATATTGCATATAGCCGGCCAAACGGCTGGACCTATTGGGCTGAAATTTTTGTGGGTGGCCGGGGGGTGTTATAGGCTACAAAAAATTCTACATTTTTTTCAAACATTTTTTTTCTACGGGCAACGCCTGGCCCTTCACCTAATCATGCATAAATGAATACAGAATACTTACTTAAATACATTACACACATACATACACACATAAACCCATACTTAAAAACATTTTATCCTTACCTTGGCTGATTAAAGTGATGTTTAGATGGTTACGAGATAATCTGGGATTAATAAAGGACTCCAGTGAGATATCCTCACTGGCGGAGCAAGTGGAAAAAACTGACGGAGTGTACTTTGTTCCCGCATTTTCAGGTTTTTTTTTCTCCAAACCAGAAATTCCTTTGGGGAAAAAAGATATTCTTAAAATTTACTGAAATAGAAATATTGACAGGTGTTCCATAAAAAATGGTGATCACTGATAACTGATCACATCAGGGGTCTTGGAGCCTTTTTATACATTAAATATAATCAATTTGAGCCCTAGTACTTAGCATTCTGGAGGGGTCTATTATAAAAAGGGTTAAAAAATTATTTGTTGTCAGGCAGTCCCGGAAAAAACTATGTCTTTTTGAAAGCTACTTTATTCATTCAATAATACTTAATACTTAAAGTAGAGCAGAACTTTGTTCTGCAAACAATTCTAAAATCTTGATTCTGTTATGGTTAATATTTAAATGTCTAGATATAATATACAATATACATGCTTGAACAATTGAAGATTCAAGACTAATACATTTTTCACAGTATGCGTTTACTTTGTTACATTTACTTAAAATCTGACTGTAGTATGAATAATTGCCTCTTACTGAAAAATATGTTAAATAAATCTGTGATTGTTTGCTTCTCGCTGGAAAATATGTTAAATAAATCTGTGATTGTTTGCTCCTCACTGGAAAATATGCTAGATAAAGCTAGGATTGTTTGCTCCTCACTGGAAAATATGTTAGATAAATCTAGGATTGTTTGCTCCTCACTGGAAAATATGTTAGATAGATCTAGGATTGTTTGCTCCTCACTGGAAAATATGTTAGATAAATCTAGGATTGTTTGCTCCTCACTGGAAAATATGCTAGATAAATCTAGGATTGTTTGCTCCTCACTGGAAAATATGCTAGATAAATCTAGGATTGTTTGCTCCTCACTGGAAAATATGTTAGATAAATCTAGGATTGTTTGCTCCTCACTGGAAAATATGTTAGATAGATCTAGGATTGTTTGCTCCTCACTGGAAAATATGTTAGATAAATCTAGGATTGTTTGCTCCTCACTGGAAAAGTGATGCTAGAGGAACTCTGTGTGGGTTAACATCACATTCTACAAAACATCATATTTGCAGGTTTCAATCTCTTATTCATTCCGGTAATTCTTTTGATTTTATTTATTTTTTATCGTTATGCATTTTTTTTATCTATTTTTACAAGTTTGGTTAAAATTCATGAAGGGTGCCGGAGACGAACTTTTTTGTCTGAAACTTGGAATAAAATGGTTTGATGTTTTAAATTTAGTTTTACTTTATTCACACGTACTTAAGTAAATTCCGCTTTAATAACTGGTCTGTTAAAGATAACATCGTTTTTTAGCATTCTTCATTATTCTGATGGAAGAAATGGTTGTAGATAAACTACAAATGAAAATAATTAGTTTTCAAAACCTCATGCTTACTGAGACAAAGCTTTCAAGGGTACTGTTTTGAAGCGGACATTAAAAAAAATGTATTTTTTACTTTAAATGACGCATACATTCTCTTTAATGTCTCTGTAATATTCTTCAATTTCTTGTTAAAATAGATTTAAGCTGAACCATATTAGATTGTTTTTTCGTTGTTCAAATTTCATAAAGCAGAATTAATTTTAAAAAGATTTTATGTTTTTAAACATATGACGCACTTATGAAATTTTCTCGATAGTTAACTCTTCTGTTTAGGGCTGTACTCGAGGCAACTTGTTTCCAGGTAGGGTTTCCAATTTCCAGCCAAATATTTGAGACTCAAATTTTGCGAATTTCGAGGTTCTTTTGGTCTATGGCCTTATTTTCGCTAAAATTGACAATGAATCGTGGCCAAAAACTTATGACAATCTTTCGTAGTGTTGGCTTAGAATTAAATAGTTTCTACGAAACAAAAATCGAAAGATTTCTCGTTTGTTTCAAATGGCTTACCGAAATTTCGCGAAAGAGTTTCGTCGAAAATTGGAAACTCTAATTTTAGGTGAAGGACATTTTCGAGGCTATGAAGATGGATAGTAAGAGTTCACCATCTTCTATACTAGTTGACGGAGGAATGACCGCCAGCCAGGTCTTCTAAAAAGAATTGCTCACCAATATTTTATAATTAGAGTTAAAAAATAATTCCAACGTTTTTTGGTCTTGTAAACTTTGTGGATATTTTTAGTATTTTTCCTAAGATTGGATAATTTAACCGACCCGATGATAATATTTTTTTCTTGGTATAAACTTTTTTGGGTCGGGAAAGAAATATATATATTTAAAGGAAAGTTTTGAAATTTGAAAACTTTAATTTTTTTAACAATTTTTAAAAATAAAATTGGTCAGCAAGTATAATAAAAAGTATTGAACCCTCTGAAATGGACTGTAAACATAATTTTATATATATAATATATATAATTCCATAAAAAGATAGCAATGTCCGATTTAAAACGACACCCTTGAAATCGTAATCTAAAATGTGGAAGATAATGACGTAAATTTTTCTGAATCAAAAAATCTTTTTGTTTCTTTTACGTAAAAAATGCGCAAATCACTTAAGCAGAGAAACTACACATGAAATTAACGTTAACTTTCTCTTTTAATATTTCTTTCTTTTTTAATTTTGATGTCCTATTGTCGTGAATGGTCCTATTGTTGTGAATGGTCCTATTGTTGTGAATGGTCCTATTGTTGTGAATGGTCCTATTGTTGTGAATGGTCCTATATTGTTGTGAATGGTCCTATTGTTGTGAATGGTCCTATTGTTGTGAATGGTCCTATTGTTGTGAATGGTCCTATTGTTGTGAATGGTCCTATTGTTGTGAATGGTCCTATTGTTGTGAGAATGGTCCTATTATTGTGAATGGTCCTATTGTTGTGAATGGTCCTATTATTGTGAATGGTCCTATTGTTGTGAATGGTCCTATTATTGTGAATGGTCTTATTGTTGTGAATGGTCCTATTGTTGTGAATGGCTTCTGCACATTGCAAAAAATACGCTTTGGTCAATATTTTCATCTTTTAGATTTTACTACAGCTTCAGTCCAACATACTAGGAATAGATGTGCAAAAACCTTCATTTAGCGAGGTATTTGCAATCTGTAAATGAGTGTCTGGCTAGGTATGGTAGTTGAACTGAAAGTGCAGTATTTTTTATTCTATTTATTTCTACACTATCTATATCGAAAATTCGCTCTTTAAAAGTGACAAGGAGGGATAATTCTGGAAGCTTGCTCGCATGATTGGATGTTTGAAATTACTTAATAACCTGAACTAAAAAACGTGACAAAAAATATTGTTCGGGAACATATTTCTCAAGAGAGATTATCGATGACGTCAATGGTGGAATCAATTATTTCATTAAATTTGTTATTCTCTTTACATTTTCTCAAACGTCGACTTCCGATTAAATTTTTAAGGGAATCAACGGGAAACGTATTGGAAAAATCAAATATCCAGAAACAAGTAACAAAAAATAATCTATTTTAAGACATTTAAAGAGCTAGTTTTCAGTCTAATGTAGCTTTAACATAACGTAATAACGTTTCTTTGGTATCAAATGAATCCAGATATTTTATTTTATAATACAGAACTCTCGGCTCAACTACCATACCTAGCCAGTCACTCCCTTAAATATTGTTTTGGAATTTGTTTGCTTCTCTGCAATTTTCATTTATATTATTTATCTGAAAAATACTGAACTCCTAGTAGCGGCAATCTTTTGCGCACTTTTGCACTCAGAGATTCTCCTTTATTGATTACTTGGAAAGAGCAAGAAGGGGTTGCTATTCTCTCCAAATTGACAGATTAATTGGACACTGCAGCGCAATTTTTTTTTTAAAATCCCATTTATAAAATTGAATCAAATGAGGAATCAGGAACTGTGTCACATATCTCTAGTTAGTAACTGCGCCTCGATACAAAATTCGTCGAAAATAAATTTAAGATAAACCTTATGTACTAGCATATTTAAAATGCATAGCACAAAAAAAACAAATATTAAATATAAAATACAAAAAATCTACAGTTAACAGGTAAAAATGGGTTCTAAAGTTAAGCCTTTATGAACTTTTAACCAGGACCTTTAGCTCAACGTGAATGTGGTGCCCACTGCCCAGTATACGTTTGTTCTTGAAAAATGTTAAGTATAACTATGTATTGACTGTTAAATTGGACGCCGTAGCACAATAGTTTTTTTTAATCCATTCTTAAAAGTTGAATGAGTAACTCCGCCTGAAAATGGACGTAAACCTAACTAACTACCCTTATATTTAAAAAACAAATATCAAGTATCAAAAACGAAAAATCTATATTTAACAGGTGAAAATGGGTCCTAAAGTTAAACTCAATAAACTTTTAACCATGACCCTCATCCTCACGTAAATGTGGTATTTATTGACTGATTAAAGAAATCTCAATTGGACAGGAGCTTAGATCAGGGATTGAAGGTTGACTGTAAACATTATTAGTATTAGTAGTATTAGTATTAGTATTGTTAGTATTATTAGTATTATTAGTGTTATTAGTATTATTAGTATTATTAGTGTTATTAGTGTTATTAGTACTATTAGTACTATTAGTATTATTAGTATTAATAGTGTTATTAGTGTTATTAGTGTTTTTAGTGTTATTAGTGTTATTAGTGTTATTAGTGTTATTAGTATTATTCGTATTATTAGTGTTATTAGTATCATTAGTATCATTAGTATTATCATTATCATTATCATTATCATTATCATTATTACAGTAATAACAAATGTAATATGAAATAATTTTCTTTTTTTTCTTTAAATTTTTGAACAATAATTCCGCTCTGTCCAAAAGTTTTTGAGTTTTGTAAAATTTGAAAATGCGCGAAAAATAATATTAAATCTGCGATTTTTTGTTGTTATTGTTTTATATTGTACAAAGAGAAGATGATCACCACAATTAAAAGTTGAATTAAAAAATGTCTATTATAAATACATCTCAATGATGAGTTTTTGTAAATATTATTTCCTATTATTGTGTTTACTCTCCAGGAAGAATTACTTGCTACTCAAGTATAAGGACGTTACTCATATCTTTAATATACTGAGATTTCCTTTATGTAAACCTGAACTTTTGAGTAGGATCCCGATCTCTTTATCTCAATTTCCACTGTGAGCATTTTTGATTTGCTTGTTGATCCTTGTTGGTCACCCATTCTCGGTTCCGACAAATAAGAGTTCTCATATTGGTTTTCGCGGAAATTTCCCGGCTTCTGATTGGCTGTTCGGTTTTAAGACACTCTGATTTGTTGAACTATAGACACTTTTCTGGATAACAAATGACGATTAAACTATTTTGCATATTAGTAAAAAAAGGAGATCAGAGATCAAGGATTGATCTCGAGATCCACAATTCTAAAGATTTTAGTTCTAATTTGTATAGTAAAAATGTAATTGTTATTGTATCATTTAGGGAAAAAGAAATTCTCATATGTATATTGTCTCAGAAAAACTTCCTTATTCATTAGTCATAGTCATTAGTCATATAGGGTATATTACGATGACAAAAACATGTTATCTGCTCTTGACAGGTTCAACATAATTAAAGAAATATTATTCTTCGTTACACTAATCATGTAATAACGAGGAGTTATTTGCGTAAATACAAATAAAATATTTCTCCGACCTTCGGAGGAAAGGGAACTCATATATGTATTACTTTTACCAATATTCATTTCTTCATAAAAGCCAGAGTTTTGTTATTTCATGTTAGGTTACTTTTACCAGTATTCATTTCTTTATACAAGCCAGAGTTATGTTATTTCATGTTAGGTTACTTTACCAATATTCATTTCTTCATAAAAGCCAGAGTTATGTTACTTCATGTTAGGTTACTTTTTCCAATATTCATTTCTTTATAAAAGCCAGAGTTATGTTATTTCATGTTAGGTTACTTTTTCCAATATTCATTTCTTTATACAAGCCAGAGTTATGTTATTTCATGTTAGGTTACTTTTTCCAATATTCATTTCTTTATAAAAGCCAGAGTTTTGTTATTTCATGTTAGGTTACTTTTACCAATATTCATTTCTTTATACAAGCCAGAGTTATGTTATTTAATGTCAGGTAAAACAGTTCTGTTATTTCATGTTATGTTATTTCATGTTAGGTATAAGGACCGTTTTCTTTTTTATATTGTTACTCTCCAAAATGAAACGTTCTTAAGTTCTGAGTTCGCATAAACATTTAAATAAAAATACATCAAATAGTAAAAAGTCTCTTCATCAACATTTATCTGTACAAGCGTGCAATAGAGTTGATTTCTAACAAATTCCAAAAAAGTGAAATACAGGGATTGGAAGATTTTTGAGAATTCGGTGTCCTTCAGAAAAAAGGGTTGACATATTCATGATGCTTGTTTTTGATTTGTTGTATTGAATTCAGGTGACCGCTCTAGGGGCTGCAGTAGCTGCGGGGGTCAGCCTGGGGTTATGGCAACTTGGAACTAAGATTTCAGATCTACAGACTTACAGGTTGCATTAGAATTTTTCAAGGGTAACTCACCCTGTGAGAATTTACCAATAGGCGATTTGTCTTTCAAAAATATTTTTGTCTGAAACTATTAGACTGTCTTAAGAAAAAAAAATTCTTTTTAATTTAAACTCATTTTTGGCAATTCTATACAATAAAGCTCTTCGCTCAAATATATATAATTTATATATATATATTGCATGTATGTATGAAAGTATGTAAATATTTCTGTATAGTTAGCTAGAGCTGCGAAAACGGCGGGACCAAATATGCTGGAATTTTTCTAGGGAACCCATGGGTTTCTGTGGGTAATAAAGGCTTATTTTTAAGTTTATTTTGTATAAATCGATTCTTTAAATTTGATTTTTTTAAATAGATATTTAAAAAATTCCACGGGCAACGCCGTACACTTCAGCCAGTATGCAATGCAATATTATTAAAGTGTTTACCCATTCTTAAAAGTTAAATAAAGTTATTTGGTAAGTTCTAATCTAGTTCAGACATGGGTTGAACTTTTTGGATTATTTTAATGGACTTTAAACGTACATAGATTACACAGAAATAATGCAATTAAGTTTTATTTTTCTAAAAATAATAATTTTGTGAAAATATATTAATTTGGAAATCCAAGAAGCTCTTATTTTTGTGTTTTGTAATTTCTACAGAATTACATTTTGATGTTTTTTTATTCTAAAAGTGAATTGCGGAATTATGCATAAGAACTAAAGCAGTAAATTATCTCAAGATTTTCTAGATCACTTCACTGTTTTGTAGATAGTGGGGTTAAGAGCAATGATACCGTTGTGATTCGGGCATGCATCTTTTTAATTGAGTCGGTTGTAATTTTGTCGTCGGTCTCTTTTTTACCAATCCCTGTTTTAGTCCTGAGATCGATAATATTTACCAATCCCTGTTTTAGTCCTGAGATCGATAATATTTACCAATCCCTGTTTTAGTCCTGAGATCGATAATATTTACCAATCCCTGTTTTATTCCTGAGATTAATAATATTTACCAATCCCTGTTTTAGTCCTGAGATCAATAATATTTACCAATCCCTGTTTTAGTCCTGAGATCGATAATATTCATCAATCGCTGTTTTAGTCCTGAGATCGATAATATTTACCAATCCCTGTTCTAGTCCTGAGATCGATAATATTTACCAATCCCTGTTTTAGTCCTGAGATCTATAATATTTACCAATACCTGTTCTAGTCCTGAGATCGATAATATTCACCAATCCCTGTTTTAGTCCTGAGATCGATAATATTGAACGGGATCGTAAAATGAAAAGGTGGCGAATGGCACTTGAACGAAGCTTAGGTTGGGAATTGGAATAAAACCTCTGCAAAAGGTAATTTCTTAGATTTATCCTTAAAGGGCAATACTATAGAATTCAATTATTTTTGAAATAATGTTCTTGATTTTTACCTCAGGGGTAAAAAAATTTCGACGAGATCGGAAATTGTTTTTAAGTGATCAGAGACTGAAATTTGCAGGGTTGCTAAACTAGCTTCCGCCGGTTAAATGTAAATCACTGCAGTGACTTTCGATCACAATTTTACCTTTAAACGTAAATTTTTCGCCTTTTCTCCTTAATATTTTTAGTCGGCATATGGGTTCAAAATTATTAAGTGTAACGAGTATGACAAGACAACTCTGAAGTTTAAATATTGTTATACGCGACTGAATTCAAATAGAAAATAAACGAACACATCTCGCCCTAGTTTAATATTTTGAGGTATAATATACTGCAGTTTTTACATTTTATATTTTCGAGGGATTTTGTCGCTCGATTTAAAATCTTTTAGTGGGGGAATATTTATACAGTATACTTCGATATCAATCCTTTAATATCTCAGTAGTGCTCAGGATCCATTGGATCCACAAACATGTTGGCTGCCTGGATCCGCATCCGCAAAAAATGCGGATCCACGGATCCGGATCCAAGGGGCAAAATATCATCCAAATAAGACAAATAAACACTTTTTGCGCTCAACCCCCTAATATGAACTGTTGAAAAAAGATTATAAAAAATTTCATTATTTCTGAATTTTTAAGTTTTTTAACACAAAATACGAAAAAAGAAGAAAAAATTATTAAATTTTTTCCTTTGTTCAACAAATTAATATATCTTAAAGAAATATTCATTACCTGGATCCGGATCCGTTTTTTTCAGTGCCTGATCCAGGATCCGGATCCGCATCAAAATTTAATAGATCCTAAGCAGCACTGATTATCTGTAACACTTTATTCGATGCAAGAAAAACTACTTTTAAGCTTGACAGGTGGTTTCTACATTTACATTACTCAATGTCATGTTATTTAAAAAGTTTTTTTTTATATTAAGATGTATTTTTTGGGATTCCAGCTTTGCCAGGAAACCTTTCTGTATGAAAGTTAACTCATGAATTTGTAAACCAAGCTAAGCATATTTTTGTTGTTATACCAAGTTCCCCAATCAAAATGCTATACTTATCGGTGAAGGGGTTCACGAGTTTTTACCGGCGGACATACAAACAATTAAATTCACAGACAAACAGAGTTTACTAATTTATAATATACTAGCTTGGGAACCCAGCGCTGCCGAGGTTACTAAGCTTAGAATCTCTAAACCAAGCCCGACACATTCCCGTGGGTCTCCCGAGTTCCCCAATAAAATTTGAGGCAAATCGATCCAGGGGTTCCTGAGTTATGATCGGACAAAAAAACACACAGCAAGACAAACAGAGATTACAACTTTATATACATAGATACTAGCTTGAGAACCCAGCTTTGCCTGGAAACTAAACCCTCACTATAAAATCCAACCCACCCAACTTCAACTTTTTAAAACCAAGCTAAGAGCATTTCTACCGAGTTCCCCAAGAACATAAAAAGATTTAAAGCATATTTTATTATATTTCAGGATGAACAATGAACATGATAACTCTAGATCTCCAGCCTTTTCAAGAGATGTATGTTCCTTGCAGTTTGTAACTTGTAAGCAAAGCAATTGTAATAATCCGCGGATTTGTATACAAAAACGGCAAAATATTAACCATTATGAACAAAAACTTTTATTCTGTAATCTCAAATCTCAAATGCTGTAAGGCCAAATTTGGAATTTTTCCTGCTAAAAAGAACATTTTTGCTTGCTTAAAAGGCTCTGTAGGCGTAATTACACGGAACCCTCCATTTGTAGAGATTAACGTGCCCAATACATCAGTATCCTTAAACACTGATCAAGGTTTCTAAACCTTGTGAAACGTAAAATATTCGGTAATTACAACTTTGCAAGTGAACCGAGGAACGGATCAGCTGTGTTGACTTCAAACTGTACGCAGCGTACACTGGATTTTCAAGAACTTTTCAAAAGATTTTTGCTCGGAACTCTCTGTAATCAATGAACAGTCGAAAGTTAACGAAAAGATACCGATGTAAATCGGGTTTTGTCCTTGAGGGTCACTTGAAATTACGCTTACAAGGCCTTAAATCCAGATGATGTAATTTTTTCACTGATATTTGTAGATTTTCAGCATTTAAAAAATAAGTTTATTGAAATATGACGTTCGAGCTGAACTGTTAGTATTAAACCAATTATATAATTTTAAGTTTGTAACATCATATGCATGATTGGGTTTAGTTTTATCCCAAGTAAAAGGATGATTTTTAATTAAATATTATCCCTAGATATAATGTTACACATGGTGCTAATCGAGACAAATGTATAAAGTTGGATTTTTAGATTTTTTACCAGTTTTATATAAATCTTAACTATGTAATATTTTGTTGTTTTGCAATAAATGCTATCTTTAATCTTTAAACCGGTGTGGCGTTATTTCTGGGTATACGTTAAATAATGCTAGTAGATTCTACGCAGCAAATTTTTCCGCGGCATCCGCCAACAATTCTGTGAATGTAAACCTTAAATTAAGTGAAATTATTTCTCAAATTTGAGAATCAATCAAGTTTTGCTGAGCAACAGACAGTAAAAATCAATTGTTTTAACATAAGGGATCGATATTATAGCTTAGTTTACGTAAGTTAATTGTTAATATTCTGATACTTGCAACTAATGAGAGTTTAATGTATAGTTAATTACTTCTGTACTCACATTATATATCAGCATATAGTATATATGTTAAGTGTATAAATATAATTTCTAACTTTGAAATTTCAGATAAAATACCAGATTTCTGTTGTGGGCATTGTCGTAAACTGCAAAAATATGCGCGGATGCCGCGGAAAATTTGGTGCGTAGAATCTACTACCATTATTTAACGTTTACCCAAAAATAACGCCACACCGGACTATTGAACTTCTTAGAAAATATATGACGTAGATGCGTGAGATAGAATTACCAAGTTTTATATATTCAAAAACAATTACTGAAATTGATTAGGTTTCTAAAAAAAATTAAGCTTTTGTTAAGAACTCTGATTTTCGAAGCCCTGCATCTGTAAAACCCAATGATTTTTTAAGTTTTGCAATATCAAAGCTGTACACCATCTGTTGCAAAGATACAGAGATTAAAAAATTCGATCAATGCCATGTCATAATATTCGTTTAAATTACGTTCGTTATGAAAACTTGTTCATCTTTTTTTCTGCCACACCCTGTTGCCAGTCCTGGTTTGATGCACACAGCTCTTTTGCACCTTTCTCTTAGTATTAAATCTATTATAATGTTGGTATAATCCATATTACCCTATTAGGGATAAACCTTATTTTATAGCTGTCCTACCATTAGGAATAGAACGAGGGTACAGGAAGTCACATTAAACATTGGAATAAATTGTTTATAACCATATTTCTGGATCGAGTATTTAAACACTTGGAAATGGCACCTTTTGCACAGACCCGAAACACGTAGCACAGTCAGAGAATTTCTATGAAGGGCCAAGGAGGAGGGTTTACTTAAACTCTTTAAAAAAATATAAATCCTCCATCAGACTCCCTGATACGATTTCTAATTTTGAAGAACTAAACTGATAACCTTTGTATTCTCTGTATTCAGCTAAAAATTTAAAAACTCTACTTTTAGATCATAAATAATAGAACCCTAAGGACATATGATGATTAGAATTCTAAGAATTTACTTGTTCACATAACAGCTGGCAATATTTTTTTAACAATCTCTGAGTAAGAGAACATGGTTAAGACTGTTCGAAGTTGACAAATTTAGCATGGAAACAAATGTTAATATTTCTCATATTTGAAAATTCACAAATTTAAACAGAAAATTTTTCGAAGACATTAGTCTCTAGGCGCAACAGTTGAAAGCTTGACTTGATGAAAGAAAATAGTGTGCGGAACATTATGAAGACAAACTGACAGTTATCCACAAGGTACTTCAGAGGACACCTCTACTCTGCAGACCTACTTAAAACATCTAGTCTAGTAGGTGGTAAGATCTGCCGTAGTCTATAATATTTCTGCAGTGAAACCTTAACTGTGAAATAGCAAGACAATCTCAATTCTTAATAGTCTAATGAACATGTAGCACTGTAAAAATCCGAGTTGTTAAAAGTGTTCTCTTATCAGTATAAGAATGCATGTCAGTAGGAATGGGAATTTTGTTTTGTAAAGGAAACACTACCATTGTGCAGTGTACAAAGATACATTTTACTAAAAAAGTTTATTTTATAAGCTACATGGTAATGAAATAACATCAAATCACCGTAATCTCCCAAGACACAGATGCTTCTTTCAGGGGCGGACGAGGGGGGGGGGCCGCGCCCCCCCGCCCCCCTCTAAGCGTGCTCCCCCTGAGAGGCTGAGGGGGGGCATCCATGTGGGAGGCTCTTTTAATATTACATCTGCTTGCATTTCCCTTCCTCAGGTCAGGCACAGTGGTGTACCTAGGGGGGGCAGTAGTTCTCTTGCCCCCCCCTGGGAGTTCCAAAAATACAAAATTAAAAGGAAACTACGTTTAGAAAGTAACACCTGACAATGACAAAGACTAAGGATTTGTCTAAATTCACTGTTAATACAAGGAGAGAAAAGTTTTAGCCTTCTAAAGAGAATACTTCTTTACATAAGATGTACTATGACGGAGAGCAGACTTAACGATCTGGCACTTATAGCTTTACACCCTATAAGGCTGTCTGAGCTCTCTACTGAAAAAAATCATTGAAATGTTTGTGCAAGCAAATCCCAGAAAATTGTAGCTTAAAAGATTTGGTTAAAATGTAGATTAAGTAAATTCTATCTAAAAATTTCAGAAGAAATTTCGTTTATTCGTAAAAATATAATTTTTAATGATGCTGTGATTATTGATTTAGTTAGTTGTGATGGAGTTAAGTGATAAATTTATAAAGTCAAAAAGTTAGTTTTTCAAGCAAAGGAATAATTTTTAGACTCTAAGGTTAGTAATACCCAAAAACGTAGTCTTTTTTGTGTATTTTTATGGTGAACAAAATAAGTCCAGGTGGGAGAGGGGGGGGGTGCAAAAAAATTTAAAAAAGGTATTAATATTTTTTCAAAAAAGGGGTTTTTAAGGGGGGGGACCAATGTTGCCAAGAAGGTGGGGGGACCAAAAAACGCAAATTGTGCCCCCCCCCCCCAAACAAAAGCCCTCGTACGCCCATGGCTTCTTTTACTGTACTGTTCCACTTTGGTGTTCACAGTATGTATGTATACTGTACTACTTGCTTTAGCGGCCTAGAAGTTGGTCCGGTACTTTAAATAAACCGTTTTTTTCACCACATTTAGGGGTTCAAAATCATTTGATAACTTTAGACTCATGTATAAATGTTAAACTTCTAAAATCATTACAAATTGTCCATTTGGTGGATCCCCTCCACCCCCTCCGACGCCCATGTTGCGCCCAAGAAGGCTGTGTTTCTATTTATAAAGGAAAGCTGAGAAGATTGATGGATTTGAGTGTGGGATAAGTGAAAGCTTTTCAATCGAGAAAATATTCAAAATTTTACTAAACAATGCTTGCGCATAAAATCAAAAAATCTTTCCCTCTCTTTTTATATTATATAATTTTATATTAGATCTGATACCTTAAATGAAAATTGACAAAAAACACGGTTTGGTTTTAAGACTCTCACTATGCAATTTCAAATATTTTTGCTAAGTCTATATATATACTTAGCTTGTCCGGGTGTTTGTTTGTCTGTTTGTATCCAGTAAACGTCAAAACGACTAAGCCGATCCGGCCCAAATCTTTTGTGGGACCTCACATGGCCCCAGGGAAGGTTTATAGGTGCTCAGAATTTCAAAACGTTGTCTCTAAAAATTTATTAAATCCTCTAAAAAAATTGTAAATCCGCACAAATTTGTATGATTGTTTATATAGATAAGAAAATGCTGAAAGATTGACCAACAATTAAAAGTTGAAACTTACTAGATGGGCGCGCAGGGGCGTACGAGGGCTTTTGTTTAGGGGGGGGGGCACAATTTAAACATTTAATAATATACAGACATTTATTAAACATTTAATAATATACAGAGACGGAATGAGTTTTTAAACAAAAATAAACTTGTAGGTTTTAAGATCAAATTTCGAGGAACTAATATCACAAATTTTAAGTTTTCAATTTCAGATATTTCCTTATAATATGAGCTCCAAATAAAAATTTTAAGATATGATTAGAATTTTCAAGCATAAATGTTAGCAACATTTTGATAATTTAAATCAATGATATAATGTCTTTTTTTTAAACATTTGGTTTTATAATTGGTTTAATCTTTTATAAAAAAAGTCCAACAATTTTATCTTTCTTCTTTATTTAGTAATTCTTTTTCATTTATAATATAAAAATCTAATTACTTAATACTTTTTTAACCAAATTAATCAAATATAGACTTTAAAAGTAAACTTTTCGTGATGAAGCTTAATTAAAACCAGCATGTGTCTATACGAAGAAACTGATATTTTTATTTTTAGGTTAGATCCGTACGGTCACTTCTGTTTGATTTTTTGACGTATTTACATTTTTAAATTTTGCTTGAATAATACTTTTCTTCCGGAGAAAATTTAATACAAACTTTTAAAAAGAAGAAATGTTTAATGTATTTTGGTTCTGAGAAATATTAAAAATCGGATAATTTCCCAGAGAACCATTTTCGGCCCCGCTCCCCCCCCGGGCCCTCCCTCCCCTCCTATCAATTTTGTACATGGATCTTTGATATTAGACATGGATGTAATTGACCATGTGGCCACAGCGCCCGGCCCCCTAGCCTGTCCTAGCCGCGCCGCTCGGCCCAGAAAGTGACCTAACCTAACCTTAAATATATACTAATCTTATATGTAGGACATGGATATAATTAACCATGTGGCCGCAGCGCTCAGTCCCCTAGCCTGTCCTAGCCGCAGCGCTCGGCCAAGAAAGTGTCCTAACCTAACCCTAAATAAATACTAATTTAATGAAAATTGTTGAAAAAGTGGTCATGTATGAAATTGGTAGGAGGCGGGAGGGGGGGTCCAAAAATCCTTCTCTAGGACGGACCCAAAAATCGTTGATAACTGGTGGAATACTGCAGTTTCAGACATTTAAAAGTGTATACACTGTCCTAACATTGGAATCTATTAGACATACAATACATTATACATACATATATTTATCCATAAACATTTATATACAATAGATGTAATCATTTGTGTTTTTTATTTAATTTTTTTTATTAAAAATGTCTTTCAAGCTTTTTTGGGATAGAATTTGCAATATTTTGAGATCAAAGCTAAATTTAAAATGCTCATCAAAAGTATGATAGTGAGTATGTACGAATGTGTTAAGAAAATAATTACTTTTGTGAATTAATTAAAAGTTTTTAAGTTTTGCAAATTTCTAGTCTATAAATTTTAATTAATATTTGTCTAATAAAATTACTTTAAAGCTTTACGAGATTAAAATATATTTACACAAAACTTTAACAATGTTTTAAATAATTTTTTAACGAAATTTTCATCATTTTTTAACAGAGATCATTTTTATGACAAAGAATTCTATTTTTGGCCTATCATTATCAAGTTGTGATTATTGCAATAAAACTGACTCAAGGACTGAGGTTTTATAATCCTATCATATTATGTTAATAATTTTAAATATGAAAGGTTTTCAACGTCTGGTTGCTAAAATTGATGAAAAGATTAGATATTAAAAGTTTGTGTAAAAACTCCTATTTCTTTAACTGAATACAGACTACAGTTTACACAATAGATTATTTTATTTTTTCAAAAATATCGAAATTTTTCATAATGTTGGCACACTGAGATGTTTTAACTTTTCATAATATTTATATTTAAGATTTCAAAATGTTGTCACACTTTGAGATGTTTTAACTCTTCATAATATTTGTATTTACGAAATCAGCAACATTTCTAATAAGAAATGTTAAAAAATTTATTAGAAACAACCTTATGGATGGAAAATTTTAAAATATAAACCCTTTATTACAGATTCTTATGACTAGAAAGAGACGAAAAAATTGTTTTCAATTTCTATGAAAAAATTTGCAGAATTTATTAGTCAACTTCATCTTACAAGGATGATTCTTTTGACAATATTGTTAACTTTTCCTAAGGTCTTAGAAAAGTATATTATCATTTTTGTGCATTAAAATTTTGTTCAGATATCAATTATTTTCAACTTTAATGTTGTTAAGTAATTTTAGAAGATGAGTTCTTCCACGGTATGAGATGATTTTGTGTAGTACCCTTTTTTATCAAACACTCATTGTTTATTATCTAAGATCATTCTCTAAACTGTTATGTTTTAGAATGTTTTGTGTCTTCTCCATGCTGGCTAGGATTTAGTATGAGATCAAATTATGCCAGCCAGACATAAGGTTGTCCTATTGGATTATGTTTGTTCGAAGGATTAAACGGCACCAAGCTTTTCTTCTCACAATACAGAGCCTAGAGTGTCAGTTACTTAAAACACGGCACAGCTTTTACATCAAACACCAGCCAAGAATATCCTTATTCTTGTATCTGTTCTATACAATATCATGGACCTTCGCTGTTACTGCACCGATCAGAACAGATGATATGTTCCTGACTTAAATTCAACTGATTGATCGGGTTTTCTTGGTTCACATATTAGAATGCTGGCTGGATATATTTTTTTTCTCATTTGCTAGAACCTTCACTGTTACGTTGATTAGAAGACCAGCTATTGGTGTATCCTGATTCAGTAGTGTTTTTAATTAGTCTTACCAGGACCTTCATTTTTTTACTGATTAGAACTTGGTTCAGATAATGTGCCAGCTCGGTATCTATTATGCAATAAGACCTTTCCCTTGATACCCAGCAGAGCAGCTGGGTTTATCCTAATTTAGAGTTTACAGAGCTATTTTTATCAATATTCACCGCACTGTAACAGAAGCTCAGATTTCTGGAGTGCAGAGTCCTATCTTGGTTTCAGTTTTCTTTTATCAACCAAGATCTTCACAAAGTGGAATGAATCCTAAACACTGAAGATATCAGAGAGCAAGCTCAATATCACCGACAGTGTAGGCTATCCGCTATATAACAACAAGCTAAGATAACATGGCTCCAATACAACAACAATTTTATAGTTAGTGTCCCCACACTGGTTCTATGGAAAATAAACTTCTATCCACAACATGGAGACACACATCTTAATTACAGCTGTCTGTGTTAACTAACAGTCACCAGAGTTCAGTAACATCCATCTGTGTAAATCAACAGTAACCAGAGTTCAGTAACAGCTATCTGTGTTAACGAACTCTCACCAGACTTCAGTAACAGCTATCTGTGTTAACCGTTAATAACTAGAATTCAGTAATAGCTAACTGTGTAAACCAAAAGTAACCAGAGTTCAGTAACAGCTATCTGTGTTAACCAACAGTAACTAGAATTCAGTAACAGCTATCTGTGTTAACCTACAGTAACCAGAATTCAATAACAGCTACCGATGTTCATCAACAATAATCGGAATTAACATCTTTAGATGTTCATTAAAAGTTACCGGAGTTTAGTAACTTAACAGCAACTGATGTTAATCAACAGCAATCAGTGCCGTTTTCATCAAGAACTCAATGTTCATAAAGAGATACCGGTGTTCATCAAGTACTTCCTGTGTTTATCAAGAGGAACTGGTGATCATAACAAGCAGCCGGTGTTCTATCAGAGCTATACTAGTGTTCAAAAAGAGCTTCTGGTGTATGTCAGGAGCTACTGGGGTTTACCAAAAGCTAATGTTCATAAAGAGCTACAAGTGTTCGTTAGTTCACCAAGAGCTACTGCGGTTAATCAAGAGCTGCTGGTGTTGATAAACATTGATGCACCTCTTAACACTGTTACCCATTCAGCACTCTTCCTCCTCTGTGGCCTTCAAATCCCTAAATCAAAATATTTTATCTTAATTGATTATTTTAATGCTTAACTAATTTTACATTACTTTTTCCATGTAAAACTTATTACTAAACCTCAATTAGCTAAAATAGTTTTAGAATATTATTGCAGTATCAAATTTCAATAACTTTTGATAGAATTAAATTCTTGCCACGTGGAATCATTAAGCATCGAGAGCAGAGACAGAGAGCAGACAAACTAATCGGCGTTTTAAGTGCATTGTATATAAAACAAATACAAATATTATGAAATATCCACTATGTATGAATGTGTTGAAAAATAATCGACAACTATAGGTTTTAATATCTAAATGATTTGTTTGATATTAAATTGATTTTTTTACGATCCGAGTCGTATGTTGCAACTTTCTTTATTTGTATGGACGCTACGTTCTTCAGTGTTAGTCGTTAACAATTTTCTCCTTATAGACGCAACAGATAGAAGTAAGATTAGTAGCGATCAAAAGCGATTATTTTTCGCCGTAAGCCTACACCCCCTTTCATCTTTCGCAAATACTCCCTTTAAAATATTTATCACCGAACACTATTAGTCTCGGGATTTCCAAAATGTGCTCTACCATTTTACACTTTCAAAATTGACGGAGATATCAGGAAATTTGTCTAGAAGATTGAGTTAGTTAAAAATCAGCAAACTGTTAAGATTTTTAATATCTCTGTCAATTTTAAAGATACAAAGAAGTTAGACCACATTTTTTTGATGCACTCTATGTCATTTATCAATGATCTGAAATATAAGACTATATTAATCATCTCTCAATTCCCATGTTTATTGGGACACCCTGTAACAAAAATTGCCCAATGGGGACGGACCTTAATAGACTTTTTGTGTATTTCGACAAATTAGGTAGAGAGTATTAAAAATGGGATTCTTAATTTACCTTTCACACGCTTTAAAGAGTTTGAGAATCGAAAAATAAAAGCAAATTGAATAAATATCGGAAACCTCATAAATTTATTAAATTACAAAACATATTTACATCCATTTGAAAAGTAGGAATTTTTAAAATTGAGAGGATTAAAATGTCAACATGGGGCTGTAAACTAAGTGACCCTCCATTAAAAAAAGGTTTATGAATGATCAAAATTTCAAAAATTAGCCTCAAACAAAACTTGGATTGTCATAAAATTTTGAAATTTTTTTTTATAAAATCCGCGAACTTTTTTGTTTTTGTTTTACAATTTACACAAAGAGAAAATGTTCACAATTGAAATAGTCTTAATCAAAAAATGAGACTTTCATACCGATAATTTGTATTAAATTGGATAAATTAGCTTTTGCCTATATTTAGTTTCTTACACTACGCCATATTTTAAAATATTGAAAGTTTTGTTGAAAGTTTTTTTTAAAAACGAAGAACACTACTACTCATACCTGAGGGACCGGATTATTGGAGTGTTAAGATGAGTGGTTGAAAGCTCAGGGTTGGATACCACAATATGGTTTAGACGTGGTATACTCACAGGGAACGCAGGCATCGACCATTTAAACATTCCACCTAAACATTTGAAAATATTAATTTGAATTCTTCAACGGGTTCAACTTCTGAAATATACAAGTTCAGGAGTTCAGCTAAAGAACTGATATCCATTGAACAAACTTTAAAGGTGACGGGTTAAACATGGAATATACAAGTTCAGGAGTTCAGCTGAAGAACTTGATATCCATTGAACAAACTTTAAAGTGACCTCTCTCAAATTCATTAAATTTCCAAACATACTAAATATAGCTATATATGTAATATTTGTAATATGTAATATTTGTAATATGTAATATTTGTAATATGTAATATTTGTAATATGTAATATTAAAATATGTGATGATGAATTGCAAAACTCCGTTGAAAACACGATAAGAAAGTATTTTGAAAAACAGAATAAAAATATGTTTGTCAGGATGAAATCCTTTATTAACTCTTAAAAACATGAAAACCTAGTCCTATACCGAGGGGGGGGGGGGGG